AGAAAGGGAGGGAGGGAGAAAGAAGGAAGTAGAAAGAGAGAAGAAGGGAGAGAGGGAAAGAAGGAGGGAGAAAGAGAAGGAGGGAGAGAGAGAGAGAGAAGGAGAGAGGAGGGAGAAAGAAGGAGGGAGGAAGAGAGGAGAAGAAAAAGAGAAGGAGGGGGGAGAGAAAGAAGGAAGAAGGATGAAGAAAGAGGAGAGAAGGAGAGAAAGAGAGGAGGGGGAGAGAAGGAGAGAAAGAGGGAGAAAGAAGGAGGGAGAAAGAGAGGAGATAAAGAGAGAGAAGGTGGGGGAGAAAGAGAGAGAGAATGGACAGGCTGACCAAGGAGATGTCCTCTCCACTTTGGGTTCTGGCTGAACCCACCAGTATGTTCATTTCTTCTGCCTCTTGGCTCTATCCCATATTTTCTTTCCATTCCTGTTTGCTTAACAGGCTGGTTAATTGCCTGCAGTCCATCAAAGTCGGTCCCTGACCCCTGGCCACTGTCCCCAACCTTCTCCCACCGGGAACTCCCACCCAGTCGGTCTCAGCTTCTGGTCTGATGAAAACGGGAAGCGGGCGTAGGATTCGACCGGGGGGCTCAGGAAAAACAACAACTTGGGAGGCCAGCGCCAAGACCCAGGTCTGGACTGCATCAATGGTGGTGACCTCACCTGCTCCTTTCTCTCCTCTTCCTTTGGAGAGCCTTGGCACGGGCTGAAGAAACTGTGCAGTGTCAAATCTAGATGCCCCCACACGACAAAAAAAAAGCCAGAAAAAACAGGGACCATTAGATGCCTGGAAGAGTTATGAGAAAACAACACAACCCCTTTGGAAAAGGAAATCAAAGTCAGGATTGCAAGAACAGTCAAAAGGCACAACAAGTTCAATTAATTCGGATTCTACAAGGTGCTGTCAGCCTCCTCCTCCTCCTATTTTTTTCTGAGGTGAGATGGGGTGGGAGCATTTCTTTTGTCCCTTAAATTAAGCAGATACTTTCTCACCCAGAATTCTTTTTCTCTCTGGCTTCAGCTGTTGCTGAATGCAGGATGTGATGGCAGCAAATATTTCATCTTCTTCTCTGTCTGCATCGAACTGGAAAGTTAAAAAATAAATAAATGGAATCAATCTTTTCAGCTTGGGCTAACCCTGTGCTCTGTTTTTCTCCCTACTACCCCGTTTCCCTGAAAATATGACCTACCCTGAAAGTAAGTCCTAGCTTGATTTTTACACGTGTGCCTGAAATAAGCCCTACCCTCCAAAATAAGCTCTAATTAAGATCCCACCCACTCCAGAGTGGACGGGTAAAAATTAAGCTGGGATGGGGATGGATTGGAGCTGCCCTACTGCTTACCTTTGGACAGTTGTAGCCAGGCCTTGCACAGCCCAACACCTGCCTTGCCAGCCCATTTCTTCTGCAAGACTTTCCTGAAGGCCTCTGTAGCTGAGAACAAGCTCTGGATCGATCCAGAGTCCTTCAGGAAAACCTTGCCGGCTGCAGAAGAAGGAATTCCTCTGCGAAAAGGAGGCCGGGGGTGACGCGCGCAAGTGAGGTTAGTCAATGGATGGCATCCCCCGAAAATAAGACCTGGTGCCTTTTTTGGTGGCAAAAAAAAATATAAGACAGGGTCTTATTTTCAGGGAAACAGTATGTGTGCAAACATCTTCACTTTTGGATTTCAAGGGACTAAAATCCCTTCAGAAAAGAGATGGAGAAGAGAGCAAGTGGGCATTTGCATACCTATCTCTTTATTGCTCTTCCAAAAGTATGTGCAGGGTTGGGATTCTACCGGTTCGCACCTATTCGCTAGAACTGGTTGTTAACATTCTAAGCAGTTGGGAGAACTGGTTGTTAGAAGAAATTACTGGCCTAATCCTGTAAGGGAGGCAGGAAGGAAACATTCTGGTGTTGCTTACAGAAACTGCCTCTCCATTAACCCTTATTACATTCTTGGGCAGGACTAGACTTCCTGTCTCTGGAACTTCTCTGGAGTTTTTCCCCCCACCTTTGCTGGTACTTTGCTTGTGTGGAGTGACCATTCAAAGTTACAATGGCACTGAAAAAAGTGACTTATGACCCTTTTTCACACTTACGACTGTTCCAGCATCCCCACAGTCACAAGAGGCTAGGCAAGGAGATACGTGCCTCGATGTGAGTGATATTGAGTAGGCCACACCCAGCCAATAACATGACCACCAAGCTATGTCCACCCAGTCACATGACCACCAAGCCATGCCTACCACCTAAGCCCACAGAACCGGTTGTTAAAAATTTTGAATCCCACCCGAGTGTGTGGCATTTGCATGATTCTAATCAGAAAGAAATATTGGTATGAAATGCCAACATCGATAGTTCCTCAATAATATGAAAAAAAACCAGACTTAAAACCAGATGTTGACTTAAATTGGACCTCCACTGTTTCCATAATGCAGCAGCCAAAGCCCTTGAGATACCACAAGTGCTTTTAGTTGTATAGCTGACCTCCAAAGAGACCTGTGTGACAATGTCTATAGAGATCCTCAATCCTCCAGGTCATGGTTGTCCCAGAGGTGCTTTTTCAAAAGGCAACTGGACTTTCTTTGTTTTTCCTTGAAGATGTTTTGACTTGTCAGAACTGAGAAGAAGCTTCTTGAAGGAGAAGCAGAACGTCTTCAAGGAAAAAAACAAAGTCCAATTGCCTTTTGAAGAAGCACCTTTTGGACAATGTGGAACAATGGAAAACTGGAAAGATATTGACCATCATCTTCAGAGAGATGGATTACTCTAGAACCAAGCTAAGTGTCTTGTTTGCCCAGCTGAAGGGACTTCTCAAGGGTGACTTCTCTTGCTTAGGTCACCCAGATGCCAGCTTCATGCAGACCTTCTGGTCCATGCCCTAAGCAATTGAGGTTCTCGGGAGATGGGTCACTTAAGCGAGGCATTGAAAAGCAAACCTAGACCTCTTCTGGAATTCCCACCCTCATTGTCCTCACCCGGACCAAAACTCCTTTCTCCTGGTAGTACTTCCCAATCAGCTGAACATTCTTCTTGAAGGTCTCCAGCCTACGTTCAACTCCATGGGGGTTGTCATCCAAGAGGCCTCGTTCCTGAGCCCGTTCTTTTAGTCGTCGCCGCATCTGTTGACTTGAGCAAGCTAGGAACACCACAACATCTGGAGAACCAACCTAACAAAGGCAAAGGATGGACGATAAGGTCATGAGAAGTCAACCTTGGGTTGGTCTCTTCCCACCTTGCCTGCTTTCAATCCAAGGACACCCTTTCTTTTTCCCTTCTACATCTTTCCCTCTTCGGTTCACTTTTTCTCTGAAAAACCCAACCTCACTTGTTGGTCTCTTTCTCACCATCAGGTGAAAGACGTAGGGAAAAGGTTCTGGAAGGACAGATGGAGAGAAGAACTGAGGTCTCAGAGAAGGGCAGAAGGTCTCAGGGATGAACGTTGACAGCTTCATCTCACCTGCTCCTCAAACAAGAAGGCCTGGCCAATGTCTCGTGGGAATCCATCCACCACAAAACCTTTGGCATCTGGATGCTTGATGAACTGCTGCTTCAACTCTTCAATGGTGGTCTCCTTGGAAAGCAGAGAGAGGTCTCAGAAGGAATGTCAGTGAGGTGTTTTGGAAACCCAAACATAGCAGGATAAGTTCTCCCCCAATTAATCCTTGGGAAAAGTTCAGAGAAGAGTGACTAAGAGGATGAAAGGCCTGGAGACTAAAACATATTTGAAGAACGTCTGCAAGATTAGAGTTTTGGCCGGTCTAGAGAAATGAAGGACTAGGGGAGACATGATAGCAGCATCCCAGTATTTGAGGGGCTGCCACAAAGAAAGAGGGGGTCAAATTATTCTCCAGAGAAACCATGGATGGAAACTAATCAAAGAGAGAAGCAACCTGGAATTATGGAGTAACTTTGTAACAGTGAGGACAATTAACCAGTGGAACAGCTTGCCTCTAGAAATCATTTGTGCCCCATTACTGGAGGCTTTTAAGAAAAGACTGGATGGCCACTTATCTGAAATGGTGTAGGTTCTCCTACTTAAGCAGGGGGCTGGACTAGAAGACCTCCAAGATCCCTTCCAGCTCTATTCTATTCTAATCCCAGTATGTGGCTAGCTCATTAAGGTAGAAGTCCATTAAAAGAAGGATGGAGAATCCCTTTTAAAAAGGAAAGAAAAAGGCCAAATTTGGAGAAGTTCCTGGTTGTGAAATCCCCAAAATAACCAAATCTCACAGGTTGGTAATTCTGGATTAATTCCAGACTTATTAACTCTGATTTGAATCTGAACCAGAAAAAAAAAATGCAAACCCTTTTGACATCTCTTTTGCCTCCAATAACTCATTTTCCTGGTCTAATAGGAGAGAAATAACTCCAAAAAAAAACCAAACCCAATCTAAACTCGAGTCTTTCCAATAGCGTACAATGGATCTCAACCATCTTGGATTCAAAGCACAAGGCTGAATTGAGCAATAGCTCTGTGGCACACCAGAAAAATCACCAATTGTGTATACGTATTTTTAAATGTGCAAGAATTGGTTTTGGAGGGGAAGTTATATACAGGGACTCCTCGACTTACGACCACAATGGGGCCCAACATTTCTATCGTTAAGCGAGACATTGGTTAAGTGAGTTTTGCCCCCGTTGTATGACTTCCTGCCACTGTTGTTAAGGGTATCACCACAGTTGATAAATTAGTGACTCGGTTGTTAAGTGAATTATTGAGCCTGTCATCTGCAGACAGGACCTGAGGGGTGGGCTTGAGCTAAAAATAAGCCAGGGGCACGAGTGAGCATGCAAAGGGATGATCTGTTTCTTAAAAAAAAGGAGACACTTCCATTCAAAATGCACATGAGTTACTATGTCCGCAGGCAGGCAGGAGGTTGTACAACTTGCCTTGTGGTGTGACCAGAACAATCTGGAATTGAACACACGTAGAAATGGTGGTAGACTTTAGGAGAAACCCTCCCATACTACCACCTCTTACAATACTAGACAACACAGTATCAACAGTGGAGACCTTCACATTATATCATATCACAAGACCTAAAAAGGACACCTCACATCAAAAACGTCATCGAAAAAGCCCAACAAAGAATGTTCTTCCTGCGCCAACTCAGAAAGCTCAAACTGCCCAAGGAGCTGCTGATCCAGTTCTACAGAGGAAGGATTGAGTCTGTCATCTGCACCTCTATGACTGTCTGGTTTGGTTCTGCAACCCAACAGGAAAGACACAGACTCCAGAGAGGAATTAGGACTGCAGAAAAAACAATGGCTACCAACCTGCCTTCCATGGAGGACCTGTATAAACTGCAGGAGTCAAAAAGAGGGCTGTGAAAATATCTACAGACCCCTCACATCCCGGACATAAACTGTTTCAACTCCTTCCCTCAAAATGACACTATAGGGCACTGCACACCAGAACAACTAGACACAAGGAGTTTTTCCCCGAAAGCCATCCCTCTGCTAAACAAATAATTCCCTCAACACCGTCCAACTATTTACAAAGTCTGCACTACTATTACTGTTAATCTTCCCATCACTCCTTATCACCCATCCCCTCCCACTTATCCCCTCCCACTGCATGACTGGAATGAAAGTGGGGGGTGGGGTTTGCAGGAGACGATTACTTCTTGCCAAGTCATTGCTGCTACAGCGTGGCGTTTGGAAGCTATCGGCCTGGCAACTCTCCAAGCCTGATTTAAAGGTCTGTAGTTGTGAAATCTCATGAAAGGCTGTTTGGCCGGGACTTTGCTGGAGAGGAATTCCCTTGAACCGAAATAAAAGGGGTTTTTATCGGCATGGGGAGTCTGCTTCACGATCTTGCGCTTCGCTTACCGACGGGGCTAACTCTCCGTCAGCCATGATCTTGGCAATCAGCTCCCACTTCTTCTCACTGGTGGCCCGACGGAGCATCTGAGCGCGCAGAATTTCTCCGACGGAGACGCAGACGAAGCCAAAGTGGGAGGCCATTCTCTGGCTTTGCGTCCCCTTCCCACTCCCGGGACCCCCTGCGAGGGAGAAGCACATGTGTGTCATTTTGAGAGGAAGCAGGGTAGATGGGGCATCTGAGCGTTGGGACGAGAATTAAAGGGGTCAGTTTACATTACGGTACCCCAAAGACAAGGTGAGCCTCGGTGTAAGGGAGCCCGGACGTCTTCTAACCCAACCCTCCCCCCCCCCCCAGCCCCCCGGATCTCGTCTTCTGACGGAGACCTCTCTCACCCATCACGAAAACGATCTTAGGGCGGGGCCGTCCGGGCTCAAAGGCGTCGTAGTCTTGGATCAACCCTGTGGATTCGGTCATATCGGAATCGCTCTCGATGGAGAACTGGCTCTGCACCGAAGATCCGTCCTGGCGGGAACTGAACGGAGCCGAGACAGGCCCTACAAGAGGGAGGGAAGACGTCACAGCCTAGTTGGGGAAACGGAAACTCATCAGAGAGGGGCGACAATGTCAGACGGACAGGACAAGGCAATGCAACAAGATACAGTCCTTGACTTACGACCATAATGGGGGAATCAGGATTTCCGTTTGCTAAGCAAGGAAGCTGCTCAGTGAGCCAATCCAGGCACTGGGGACTCCATAGATCTCAGAGGGAAGGACACCTGGTGGAGACATAGTACTGCACCCAGGATGTGATGACTCAAAGGGGCGTTGGCACAAAAGCAACGAAAAAGTAGGCAAAGTCCCTTTCATTCCTCCAACTTGGCCCCCAATGTCCACTTATCATCGGCTGGAGAGAAAAAAAAAAACCTCTCCCAAGAACAGTCTTTAAAGGGAAGAAATTCAGTCCGAACCCAAAGAACATGTAAATTATAAATAAAAAAAACCAACACAAACCATGCTGCAGCAATGAACAATACAGGGCAGGATAAGGAATGGCGGGACTTCCAAAAGATAACGAAACACACACGGTTGGGAGGGCGTCAGAACCCAGATAAGACATGACAAACAAAGATAATGCACACTTTGCTTCCAGCAAGGCACTGTGAGCAAACACCCTCTTTATCCTCTTTCCCCAGCTGCAGCTAATGAAGGGAATCAGGGCCCTTTCCTCCACCCATAACTCACGTTGCTCCCTTCTCCGTTCCTCCCTGTGTGCTCTAGGATGAAGATGGGGTGGGCCTGGGTCTTCCTCTGAAGGCCCAGCCGGACTGTGTGCCTTTCCCCAGTTTCCTCCACAGCCACCAGAGCCACACTCCCACTCCCTGTCGGCTGTTCCTCCTCTCCCTCATGACACAGGATCTCAAAGGACCTGTTTCTCCATCCAGGAACTGGAGACCCCAAGGATCTCAGAGGAAACAATGCCTGATGGACATAGTCCTGGACTTAATACAGAGACCTTGTCAAGTAAATCTCGGAACCCACCACCTGTGGAATGGACATCCACCTGGCTGGAAGATGGCATTCTTGTTCAAGCCCCCAGCGGTAGGTTGAAGGTCTTCTTGGCTGAGGAACGTGTCCCATTGGAGCTTCTCCAAACTCCCCATCGCCCGGACCTTCTTCAAGCATCCTTCAAGGTAACCGATGGGATCTTCAGGCCGGTGATACATTAGGCCTGTCAACATGCTCTGGAGGAGGAAGAGAAGCAGGAGGAAGAAGGAAGGAAGGAAGGAAGGAAGGAAGGAAGGAAGGAAGGAAGGAAGGAAGGAAGGAAGGAAGGAAGGAAGGAAGGAAGGAAGGAAGGAAGGAGGAAGAAAAGGAGGAAGAGGAAGGAAGAAGAAAGAAAGAAAGAAGAAGAGGAGGAGGAGGAAGAGGAAGGGGAGGAAAAAGGAGAGGGAGGAGGAAGAAGAAGAAGGAAGGAAGAAGGAAAAAGAAGGAAGAAGACGAGGAGGAGGAAGAGGAGGAAGGGGAAAGGGAAGGGGAAGAGGAGGAAAAAGAAGAGGAGGAGGAGGAAGGAGGAGGAAGAAGAAGAGGAGGAAGTGGAGGAAAAAAGGAGAAGAGGGGGAGGAGGAAGAAGGAAGGAAGGAAAAAGAAGGAAGAAGAGGAGGAGGAAGAAGAAGGAGAATAGAAAAGGAAAGGAGGAGGAATGGAGGAAAAAAGAAGGAAGGAGGAGGAGGAGGAAGAATGGAAGAAGAAAGAGAGGAGGAGGAGGAGAAGCAGAATGAGAGAGCTGATCTTTTCCTAAACTATCTTGTTCCTAACTTGCAGGTAGTCCTCGACTCACGATGACGATTGAGCCCAAAATTTCTGCCGCTAAGCAAAAACATTAAGTGTGCTTTGCCCCACTTTATGGCCTTTTCTCGCTAAGTGAATCACCACCGTTAAAAGTCAGTGACATGGTTGTGAATCTGGATTTCCCCTTGGCTTTGCTGGTCCAGGACAGAGCCGTCAGTTGCCAGTTGCCAAGCGCCTGCATTTTGATCCCGTGACCATGGGGAACGCTGCAGCGGTCGTAAGTGCGAATCGTGGTCTTCGGTCACTGTTTTTCCCAGCGCTGTTTTTTCCACCAGTGACTAAGTGAACCTTTAAGAGGAGAAGCGTTCACAGTCTGGACAACTGGGCTTTTGCCAAGAGTAACCCTTGAGCTCGCCAACCCAATCAAGCCGCGGATAAATTTCCTGACAATTTCCTTTCTCAGCGGACAGGAGCTTCCTTCGGTTGGGAGCCGGAAAGCATTCATTCTGGGGTTGGGCTTGCAAAGTTTTACTTTTAGGCAGGGGAAAAAAAAAATCAAGGACAAATTAGGGAAAACCTGGCTCAAAAAATAATAATAATAATGACAGCCATTGGGAGAGGGATCTTGGAGTCCTAGTGGACGATCGCTTGAATATGAGCCAGCCGTGTAGTGCCGCAGCCAAAAAAGCTAACACAATTCTAGGTTGTGTAAAGAGAGGCATAGAATCAAAACCACGGGAAGTGTTAGCACCGCTTTATAAAGCCTTAGTAAGGCCACACCTGGAATACTGCAATCAATTTTGGTCACCGTACTACTAAAAATGATGTTGAGGCTTTGGGAAAAGTTCAAAGAAGAGCAACTAAAATGATTAAAGGCCTGGAGACTAAAACGGTTGCAGGAACTGGGTATGGCCAGTCTAGAGAAATGAAGGACTAGGGGGGACATGAGAGGAGTCTTCCGGTATTTGAGGGGCGGCCACAAAGAAGAGGGAGAGTCAAATTATTCTCCAGAGCACCTGAAAGCAGGACAAGAAACAATGGGTGGAAACTAATCAAAGAGAGAAACCGTTTGGAGTTTAGGAGAAACTTCCTAACAGTGAGGACAATTAACCAGTGGAACTGCTTGCCACCAGAAATGGTGGGTGCTTCATCCCTGGAGGTTTTTAAGAAGAGACTGGATGGCCACTTGTCTGAAATAGTATAGGTTCTGCTTGAGCAGGGGGCTGGACTAGAAGACCTCCAAGGTCCCTTCCAGCTCATCCATTCTATTCTATTCTAAATCTTACCCCCCGTGGAAAGCACATTTTCCCATTCATCCTTCTCCAAACCCAACATGCTATCTGAGCGTTCTCAGATGCACTCCTTCCTCAGTGTTGTTTCTCTGTGTCGTATAATACTGTATATATGGGTGTATGCATAATTTTATATTTATTTATTTTGTCATATTTATGTAGTGTACATTGGAGGTGGAGACCCTTTGTGTGCAGTGAAATGTCATTTTAATGTATGCCAATTCAAAGTACATTCAAGGTGACAATAAAGTTATTCTAAGTCTAAAGGTGCTTAAATGGGTGCTTCTCTTTTTATTCTGAAGTAGATCGAGTGCATTCAGAATTGCTTTCTTTTTTACCCATTTGGGGAGTATAGATAGATTAACAGAGTTGGAAGAGACCTTGAAGGTCATCTAGTCCAACCCCCCCTGCCCAAGCAGGAGACCCTACAACCTAGACCATTTGTGACAAGTGGCAGTCCAATCCCTTATCTTTGCGTCTGTAAAGAAAGAGGTGTTAACTGGAGGGGGTTTAAATGCAAATTTTAGCCTAATGTTTTTCAATCTCAGTGACTTTAAGACCAGCGGACTTCAATTCCCAGAATTCCCCAGTCAGGGAGTTAGGGAATTCTGGGAGTTGAAGTCCACTGGTCTTAAAAGTCACTGAGATTGAAAACCACGATTCTCACACCCTTTTGTTAAAGTTTTATTTTATTAATTTGTTTGTTCGTTTGTTTGTCAAGAGCTTACAATATAACAGAAACAAGTACAAACATAAGTTTAAATACAAGAAATAGGAACTAATAATTGGGGACAATAGGACGGGGACGGTAGGCACTTATGCATTTATATTAAGTTCTCGGAAGAGACACATTGCAAAACCATCCATCCACAATTAGCCATGGAGACGTGTGTGGCGTTGTGATGCTGCTATGTACAAAACACACCCTTGCTATTTAGATTTCTCTGTAGAATTATGCGAGGAGAATGAGACGTTGATCCAGACAAGGCAATCCACAACTGAATTTAGCCAGCTCTTATTTTTTTAATATCCCAGAATGCCCTGGGATTTAGCATCACTCTGATGCATTGTGGGAAATTCTGATGGGGAAGCCATCTGGCCTTAATTCATTGGCCTTCGCTGGTTGCCATTATTTATTGCATTTCATTCTATCTTTTTTTTCCCCCCTCCCAGGAGTTTAATGCAGTCTATCTGGAAGTTTCCCCTTCACTTTAACTCGACAACAATCCTGCGAGGTTGGCCAGGCTGCAAAAAGTTCCCCATAGGTTTGCCGCCTCGAGTTATTTGTAAAAATAATAAAAGTAGGACAAACATTAAAAAATAAATAAATTAAAAGCTGTACATTGGGATAGCCAAATAAGGCAGCATGCCTATGTGAGAAAGTTATATCTGTAAATATTAGCGGTAGATGGAATATATATAATACATATTAACGGAAGACTTCCAGCCCAGTTTATAAATTACGGTGGGGCCATTTTACTGCATTACTCTGAAGTGTAACTTATTCTCATTTTTTGTTTTGTTTTTCTTGTTCTTTGGATTGTTTATTCAACCAGCCCGTCTTGAAAGATGGGCCAGTAAAAGCTATAAAGAAACAACATCAAACTGTTGATGCAAAACATCCACTTTGGCCCTGATAACAATCTGCCTGGTTATTTTCCTGGTGTGGAGAAACGGAGCCTCCTTAGGAAGAGGCAGTCTATCTTTCCATAGGATGTCACAAGAGCCCCCCCTCGCCCCACCTGCAGGAGGCCTGTCTCAAATTTTGGAATTAGGGGATGGAGAGCCAACTATGCATCTTAACCCTACCTGCCTCACTCCTGGGTGATTAGATTAGATTAGATTAAAGAGAGTTGGAAGGGACCTTGTAGGTCATCTAGTCCAACCCCCCTCGCCCAAGCAGGAGACCCTACACCATTTCTGACAAATGGCAGTCCAATCTCTTCTTGAACGTCTCAAGGGATGAAGGTCCCACAACTTTAGAAGGCAACTTCAGCAAGGTTAAAAAAAATAAAAAGGATAAGGTTCAAGGAAAGCCAAGATAGCACCTCACAGCTGCTGGAGGTTCTCCAGTGAAGTGGGGGGAAGGGGGAAGAGCAAAGTGGAATGCATGAGGAACAAGGACTCTCATCTCCGGAGTTCTGGTTGCAAATTGATGCCAATTATTCCATGCCAGCTGATGAGTTTGACTCATGCTGGGCATTCATTTCATCCATGGCATCAGCCACCCAGCCTGGTTTGCAGAACAGGGGGTGAAGCCCCACCCCCCAGAGAGGACCCCAGAGAGGCCTTAATGCAATGGGGGTGGGGGGGACTCCAGTTTTTTGCCCCCCCCCGGTTTGGGGTGGCGCCCCTCCCTCCAGTGTGTGTGTGTTTGTGCCCAATGTCCCCTCCCGTTGTAGCAGCGCTCCCGTCACCACTTCACTTAGTAGGGATTGGCACCCACGGATTAAGCCTCGCCCTTCCCGAAATGCGCGCTCTGCTTATGCTCAGAAACCCTCTGCCCTCCTTTCCTGGGGATCCTGGCGAGACTAGCTCCCCCCCCGCCCGCCACCCCGCCCTCGCGACCTTCCTGGCGTCCTGCGCAAAGTTTGGACGTTCCCAAAGCGGCACCTTTGCGCTCTGGACCGATGCAGGCTGCGCCCCGGGGCGCTTTGTGCATGCTCAGAGGCGACCCCCAGGCGCCCGGGAGGAAGAAGGGGTCCCGGCGCCCCAGGACCTACCTCGAAGAGCTGCGGGATCTCCCGACGGGAGACATAGTCGCCAGCCTCGGCAGAGTCGCTCATCGCCCTTGCTGGGACGCTCGCCCTTCCCGTCCCTTCCCGTCCCTTCCTTTACTCGTCCAGCCCGGTTCTGGCGGCCCTTCTCGGCTCGGGGCGGGGAACGGGGGCGGGAGGTCGAGCCAAGGACTGCCCATGTGTGGCTGGGTGGAAAGAGCGTCTCTGAGCCTGTGCAGAGGGCTGTCCAAAGCTGGCAGGAGCTGGGCGCGCAAGCAAGAGGCGGGGTTATTTTTTAAGGCTCTTTAAAAACTTACCCAACACCCTCTCTCTCTCTTTCCCTTTATCTTTTCCTTCCCTTTCTTTTGTCCCTTCCCTCTTTCTTTCTCTCATTCGTTCGTTCCTTCCCCCTCTCTCTGTATCTCTTTGTCATTTTTCTCTTTTCTTTTCCTTCCCTTCATCTTTTTCTTTCCCTCCCCTCTGTCCCCCCTCCCGTTTCTCTCTGCGTGTCTCTCTCTCCCCCTCCCTTCTCTTTCTCTCTCCTCTCTTTTCTTTTCCTTCCCCTTCC